TTCTTTTGTTCATAGTTTGTCCTAGTTTTATAAAAAATTTTGGATTACATTTGTATGTTGACATGTTTGTGTTTTTCTTGTTGTTTTATCGCGATAGTTACGTTTATTTAAGGTTCTGTGTGTACTGGGAGAATCTTTGTTTGCATATGCAGATTTCCCATTTGTCGTTATGTATTCAATGTTCGATGTTCAAAGCAAAAATAAGAGGATAAAAAACATGAAAACAAAAACCAAATCTTTGCGTCCAAGTTCTTCTTGTCTCTGTTATAGATAGTTGCCAACAGATACGACGGGTCTCAAGATTTTTACCAGCCATGGGACAAATATAAACAAGGTTTTGGAAATTTGACAGGAGAGTACTGGATAGGTAAATGATTTAGATAATCAAATAATAACATTTTTACTTTTTTTTAATTTTACATAACAAATTACTTTTTTCCTATTGCATTCTAGCTAATCACGTCATTGGAAAGTTTGCATGGTTTAAAATATGAATATGCTATTGGTATTTATTTGAAATTATCAGATATATATATAAATACGTAATGTATTGAAATATTGGGCTAGCGCACTAGCCTATCTACATTTTGTATATTTTAACTTTATTTTTCCTCATTCGCTTCCAATTTCAAATTATAGGCCTTGTGCATCATTGCTTCATGATTCAGTTTACTTGTTATTTTGAGTATATTCGGTGTAATTGCAAATCTAAAGCTTTTTCCAGTATTGTGTTAATGTCTGTTTGGAAGGTAAATCTGTCGATACGATATACGATAATTGTAAAGTCAATTTACAAAAGTAAAAAGCACGGCTTTTGCACGAACAAAGATAACATTTTATTTATATATCCTTAACAAGAAAGTGTTAGTAGTCAGTAAAACATCAACTAAAGTGGATTTTTTTTCAGAATTAGCCTGCCATTTTATCCATTCACAGGAATATTGATCCGATTTTATGTACAAAAATCGTCTGATTGTGTTTTAAAATCATAAATACAAACCCATATTTTTCTTTCCCTATAATGTACTTATACATTATTTTACAACCTGAAGGTTTTCAGAAATATACATTTCTTCAGACGTTAAATCTAAAGATGAGGATTGAAATGGGTGGATGGGATGGCTCTTTGAAACACGTAGAGTACACGTCTATGACCGTCGCTCCAGAGTCATTGTACTATGCCTTGTTTTACACGGGATTCAGTTCTCCTCATGGGTTAGGTAAGTACAATGCCTACAAGTGAAACTGGACATACTCATTATAGGTTTTCGTGGTACATGAAGTACATAGTCCGACACGTATTCGTGTATTTGAACTTGAGGCATACAATTGTTAATATATAAGTTTACATATGATATAGCTCAATGAACACCATGTCTTTATCGATACAAAATAAGCTTTAAAATCACAAAATGTTATTGGATATCATTTATCAGATAGTATATAAAATCGATTGTATAAAATGCAATAAAATGTTATCAAAATCTATATCATATAAGTTAAACAGAACTCTTCGCAAACAAAGCAAGTACCTTTTACTCCATTTTTTGTTCTAAAAGTAAAGCTTATTTATGATTAAATGTATAGTTCTTTCTATTATTTTGTCAAATCTTTATAACAATGTCTTGTGTTTCCTAAATGAGTCTATACATCGTTCGTTTGCTGTTTTATTCTACTTACTAGTTCAAACTCAACGTTGGTCTTGAAATATAGTCTCTTGTTCATATTTTTTTTCTAATTGTCTTTTTCTTCTTATTTTCTGTTAAATACACATTATAACCATTTACAACTTCAGGTATTTATAAAAAAAAACGATTTGTTATATATTATTCGAACTTATTTTTGTTTAAAATTTTCATACATCAAAAACGAAATTTTGGCTCAGTTACCTCAGTTATCGAAATATAATTAGACTTGTGACCGATTGCATTGCGTGTCTATATCATTAGTCTTACAAACATTAATGATATTGAGGTAACTCGTATCAATAACTCGTAATACATATGCTATAAAGAATTTTTATTTCTAATTCTGATCCTGAGATGATATAGAGCTATTAGACATTGGTATGTTAATTTCATGTGATGCTATTATACATTATATCGTTATACACAGATTGAGAAAATTGAGAAAAACATCATTAAGGTTAACGGAACGACACGAAAATTACTCTATTTCAAGCAATTATTTTTACTTGTGTACATGTACATTGAATAACGTCATTCTGTATTTATCTTCTCTTGTTCCAGTGGACAATCTTGCATTTCACAAGAATCAAAACTTCTCTACTTATGATAAAGATCATGACCGCTTTCCGAACACCAACTGTCCTTCCTCGGCCAGAGGAGCTTGGTGGTACAATGCCTGTTACGATTCTAATCTTTTTGGGCTGTACTCAGAATCCAATGGATTCAAATCCATGGTGTGGAAATATTTCTATGATGACGGAGAGAAGTACTCAGCCATCAAATCATTAAGGATGATGTTGGCCACTCCATAGACCTAATCATTGTTGATATTGTAACAATACTGAGAGTTTATACTGACCCTGACAAGTTTCAGTGGCATTTAGTCATCGCACTAAGTCGGTGTACGCGCAATTTGGTACCTATGTAAGTGTAATACATTGTTTTTTCAAACGTAGCGAGTACAGAATCATATATTTATACATTTATAATTTCATCAGGACTATCATCTTACTGCGGTAATACATAAGAAATATTATGGTATGCTCAAACTTACTTTTGATCATCTTGAATCAAACTTAACATAGACATATTATCTGTGCGTTAAAGTTCATTTACTTCAATCTGTGTGTTGATTTTCTTTGGTTTGTCTTTCACTATAAATTCAAAAAGCAGACCTAATACCAGGTCACATACCAAAGGTTTATGCAGAGTTGCTTAAATACTGTTTAATTTAGAACCTCATTGTCTGCATAACACAACATACAACAATAGTTTATAACTAATTAAAGCTTATTCTGAAACAATACATACTGTCCAAAGCAAAGACTCCCTAAGTTTCCTTGCCCGTAGTCAAGACAAACACAGAAATCCATAAGTAAATTTTGTTATGATCAAGAAAAATACATCTGCTAAGTCCTTCCATAAGTCACCAATAGTCATAATGCATTTACGGATATCTATAAAGAAATCTAGAAATATACTTATGGCCAACTAGTTTATGGTCAAGACAAGGTCCTTTAAGTAATCCGCAGCTCATTTGTATTTATATATATTCCTCTAAATAAATACACATAAGAGTATTCCGTTATCATTCTAATTAAAATTACTACTCTTTAAATATGTTCTTGATAAAAATTGACCAGGATGAGGCACGCATTTGATCGTTCTTAATATCGCCAAATTTCGTCTGCTTTGAACACTGAGTATCCAATGGCTTTAAAGGTCAGTTAACATACTTAATGTGTCTTATATCAACATACAACCAGCACGACACCATTGGTATATCATTGACTTAATGCATGTGATAAAAGTCGCTGTCATATATCTTGATTTCACATTAACACATAAGATAAACCAATTAATAGACGTGTGGTTTCATGGACTCATATTTCATATAAGTTGTATAATAAAGTTTTTTTGTCTTGTGTTGACGATCTAGTGTTGGGAGTTAGGAGGGGACCGACATATAGTTTTTGCCCCATTTATTTGGAGGCTAAATGAGCACAGACGTGATTCTGATGAATGTTTTGCTCATAAGAGCATTTTTATAATAATTACTTTTTTTATAATAAAACGACTTGGGATATTTTTTTTTATATTTGAAATTCATCCAAAACATACATGTTTGTTAAATCGGCAGATATATGGAAGATATCGGTATAGCCTGTGCTTTTAAAGATACATAGTAGTATAACGCGCGTTTTGTCGATGGTGTTTTTGTTTTCCATAGAGAACTCGACTTCCCTTACCTAGATTAACCAACATGTACACGACGAGTTTCATGGATGAAGCTGAAGACGTTTACTCTTCCTTTGTATATAAACATCTGCCTTCTCAGTAAAGTCTCGAACTAACTGTCGTACAAGTGTCTTTTTATTACACATTTTGTTGTTTGAAAGATTTTCGATTTTCCTCCCAACACATTTATATAGGAAATTACCTATGTAGTGGCCGCTATGTGTAAATCGGGCTTTACTGTGTTAATTTTAAAACCTTGCTCAATATCTTGAATTGAATTACGCATCACATAAAAAAGCTTTAAGTATTTTTAATAAAAATTTGCTTTTGAAGATATTTCTGATTTTTGTTTATTTTATTTTGTGAAGGTATATATATATGTGTATACTACCACATCAACAATTTATCACCAGCAGGACAATAGTCTTATTATTCAGAACAAGAGCCACGCACGGTCATCCATGGTGCCGCTTCACATTTGTAGCAGTAGGCGCAGTGACCGATAGTAATGTTCTGCACACTCACTAAGGATTTGTCATTACATTACTTCAAAAGTGATAAAAATCCTCCCGCTGTCACTTATTTAACTTAGACAAAGGTGTCCCTATGTAGTTGTAACAGAGATATATCCCCATAAGAATACCCCCATAGTGATGTAAGTGTGTATGGTTAATGTAATGACTAATTGAATGGGTTCGTTATATATACTTTAAGCTGGACTTATGTTTTATCATCCGATTTCTTTCCCAAGGACATGAATAGTATTAAATCTTACAAGCTAAATCCCATTGGAGGAGATTTCTCTTAGATGTTTTAGAAATATATGATAAAGCAGAACTGAAAGTAGGTCATTGTCTATGATAAAATGACGTCCAAGTTCTCTGAACATTTGTACAAATTAGTATTTCTTTTTAGAACACATATTCCAAGAAATCATTAAATGGATATTTATTATTAACCAGTATGTGTCCATGCATCAGTAGGATATCGATCTGCACCCAACAACATTGATCATAACGTCACACATGCATAGACTTTGTTATGTGAAGACATTTTTTTTGATAAGACAAACCTTGAACAATGATGATTTGTTTTTCTAGTAAGGGCAGAGAACTAAATTAAAACCATTTTGTCGTTCAGAACAATTCGTTAGAAATAAAGTTTATTTGTATCCATGTTTTCTTCAGAGACACGAGATGTTTAAAAAAAACTCGCCTGTCGTTTGTTTAGTTCGACCTTTGAATATGTACCACAGACTTTGAATATGTACCATAGACTTAAAATATGTACCAAAGACTTAGATTTAGACCGTAGTCGTACATAAAGACTTTACTGTGTACCAAACATGTACTCTGAGGAATGCATATCGTTATGGTGTACTTATTGGCATCATTCTCAAGACAGAATTATGTCCCGTATAGGGAAGTGATAAAAACAAAGGAACAGAACCACGTCAGATTAGTTTACAAACATTTTGGAATCATAAGTTTGGATACGCTAGTACGTATGATACTCCCCAGTGTCTTTCTACTGCAGTTCTGTCACGATATGAAACTGGGCGTGCTTGACGCTCGTTAGTTTGCCTGTTGGGTCCATCGTTGTGTACCTTGTCTTCACTTGAGAACGAGTCAGTACTTACTTGGATTGACAAGGATTTACATTTATTTCCGCATTCAAGATTTGCTAATATTGATTCGAAGGCTCAAAAGACAAAAACGAAAGACACTGGTTCACCTCTGGATAAACTACAAGTCTTGTTGATATTGTCATGATTAGGCCTACACTTAATCCACAAAGTATATTTTCTAATAAAATCTAGATTGCTCCCAGTGACCGAGGTGGCGCCCAACGGATATCTAATGAAATGATCTTATCTGTATATCAATTTATACCGGTTACAAATACACGATTATTTATCAGTTAATTGTATATAAAGTGATTAAAAGAATTCCACATCATCATCATCATCATCATCATCATCATCATCATCATCATCATCATCCCCCTCATCATCGTCATCATCGTCGTCATCGTCAACATCGTCATCATCATCATCATCATCATCATCATCATCATCATCATCATCAACATCATCATCATCATCATCATCAACATCATCATCATCATCTTCGTCAGCAGCAGAAGCAGCAGCATTATCAGGCAGAAGTAGCTGGTTTTTATATATGTGACAGGAAAATCATTCTCAGCTCCTGTATTATCATTCTAAACTATTTTATTTGGTTATGTATATAACTATTAAAAGAACTCAGATGTGAGTACGGTCATACATAAAAAAAATCGAACAAATGGGAGAATAGAGTTAGTAGATCCATATATAAATGGTATATGTTTTGTAAGCAACCACTAGTAGAAAAATTGGCTGAATACATGTGTGTCGGATCACCAAAGAAACAATAAGAATTTTTATCTTGGAGACATTTTTTTTCAATATATGACACTTAAAGATGAATAAACCAAACCATATGCTAGACACGACGGATTCTTAATTGATTACATGAACGTGCTGTTTAAAGAAATAATTGGGTATGATCCCATAGAGATTATACTCCATTAGCAGGAGTAGGACCACAAAATGGCTGACAGAACAGGTATAAAAAAAGCAAAATAAAACGCAAAGTGCTACTGACTTATTCACACATTTTGAAACAAAGAAATGTCACGGGAAGTCGGATATTGTAAGGCAGGTCGATAGATAATCTAGAATTCGGAATATTGTTACGGCTTTAAACAATACTTTAAGACTTCCTTTGGCATTATAAAGTACAGGTGTTAAGTGAAACAAGGAAACACTCTGAAAATTATAAAAATTATGTTCAGAGTTATATCTGAAAGGGAACAAAGAGTGTCTTGAAAGCTGACAATTCTGTATTATCTTCTGCAACATGATGGGAGATCACGACTATGAATAGACAGAAGGTAAAAATAACGTAAATTAAATATGTAGAGAAAATGTTGGAGCTATGAACTGTACGAAATTTTCTGTCACATTAAAAGAAGCATAAGCCCATGAGATTTCTAGAACTGCCATTTCACTCTCTCACACAATGATAGTTATTAATCATTGTATAACAACGTTTATCTGATATTCTAATAAATCTTATGATTTACAAGAAAGAAGGGCTGCTATAATTTAAATAAATATGGTTTCCGAAATTTTTTTCATTAATGTGAAAACAGTTATACATAAGCACCTAAATGAATATCATTGCAATATAAAATTAATATAGGATAGTCAATAATAACGTAACTGCATCATACAGCTGTTTATTTTCAAAGACTCACCAGTGGCACTTAGGGCTAAAATTTAAACTATAAAAAAATGAAAAAGATGAAAAATAAAAACAAAAAATCATGACAGAATCTTCATTCAAATACAAAACACAAATTCAATAAAACCATAGGAAAAAAGAAAACCTCGATCGATAGTACAGTGTCAGGTTTCCAAATGGGAACAATATAACATATATATCAAATTAGATTAAATTAGATATACTGTAAGCTGACATTTTCATTCTTGATTTGGGCAGGGGCTTCCAAAAATGGACCCACAAAG